ATCCGTGTTGTAGGACACACTAAGCGTGTTGTGTCAGCGTTTTGTGAGCGTGCTATCACCTTTAGCTTTAAAGTCCTATGGAAGGCCACATGTAACTGAAGTTAAAATGAAACTTTAGATTTCTTTTGAAAGCATAAGCACTGCATAATTACCTCAAGTAGTTGGTTCGAAGACATGAATAATTTCATATTATTTTTATGGTGTCCAATCGATATGATATAGTGAAATATGGGCACCTGCCTGATGAAGGATTATTTGTATTGTAGAGCGTGCCAGTATCGCAGAGGTCAGTGGTTTGAATCCCGTACAGGCCTGATTTTTTTCAGGTCTGATTTTCGCTATTGCATAAATAGTGCTCTCTACTGCGAGGATCGTGCATCATACGTACTTCCCTGTTTGTCATAACATCCTCATGTTTCTAAATAATACTTTCTTGAAACTGGATTTTATGTTTTAATACACTCTGCATATTTTACCTAATGGTCTCCAAAACAATAGCTAAGTTGTAAATTCAACTCAAAAACTTCTTGATCAATGAAAGACTGTCATGTAAAGTAAATATTCCCAGCCAGGAATAAAGGGACCATGTGTGGAGTACATAAAATGTTCTCTCTAATTCAGTTGGTAGGGTATCTGAATGCAACCGACAGTAGAAAGTCTGTGATACAATCCATGTTAAAATTCCACAAATCTATTATATTGCACACGTGGCAGAAATTTAGCATCTCCCTTCATCAAAATTGAATACCATAATTTCCAGCCGATTACCCGCGAGTAATCTGTTGATTTTGGGTGTGGACAAAACCTGGCCTAGGCCATGGCCTACCCTGTGGCCTACCCTATGGCCTACCGGTGGTCAGATTTTTAAGAACATAAAAATAAAACCAGTAAGAGTTGAACAAATATGCTGGTGTACAATTATCTGTCTCTGAAAAGGGTATACTATGAGGTCGCTAACACGATTTTCAACGTCCGAGGGAACGAAACACTGCAAATATCACAGCACTCAACCATAATGGTAGGTTAAGAGGGAGGGGAGAGGAGGGGCCAATATTACGTGGTTGCAG